GCTTCTAAGTTTTCTGATAACACAAAAAAGTCCTCATAAAGGAAAACATTGATAACTGGATTTAATCAAAATTAGTCTTTTGTTCTTCAGACAATACTATTAAAGTAAAAATGTGAGCCACAGACTAAGGTGAAATATTTGCAATAAATATTTCTCATGAAAAATAAATTGGACATAATCAGGTTTCAAAATCACACTTTGAAAAACATCAAAAGTAAAGACAACCCACAGAACAGGAGAAAATATTTGAAAATCGTATCTGATAAGGGTCTTGTATCTAGAATATGTAAAGAACTCTTACAACTTACTGACAACCCAATAAAAAGTAGGGAAAATGTTAAGAGTAGATTTTTCTCCAAAGAAGACATATGAGTAGTCAATAAGGACATTATAAGATGTTCAACATCATTAGTCATAAGGGAAATGCAAATTAAAACAAGTATCACTAAAATAGCTAAAATTTTTAAAAACTGACAATACCATGTGTTGACAAGGACAAGAAGGAAGCAGAACTCTCCTATAGTGCTGGTGGAAATGTAAAATGGTACAACCACTATGGAAAACAACTTGGGTAAACTGACTATATGCCAATAAACATACATATGTATATTGAAATAAATAAATAATGGGATTTGTTACAAAATTAAATGTGCATGTACCATGTGACCCAGCAATTCCACTTCTAGGTATTTACTCAAGAGAAATAAAATGCATATCCAAAAAGGAATATATTAATGTTTATAGCACTTTACTCATAGAAGCTGAAAACTGGAAACAACCCAAATGTCTGTCGACATTTGAATGGATAAATGAATTGTAGTATAATCATACAGGGGGGTACTACTCCGCAATAAAAAATAATGAACTACTAGTATACACAGTGACATGGATGAGTCTCAGAAACGCGCAGAAAGAAGTTAGACATGAAAGAGTATGTAAATTACTTCCTTTGCATTAAATTTTAGAACAAAAATAATCATGACTATTACCTATTGCTGCATCTGGGTACCAAAAGGCCTCTCAAAATGTTGCCATCAAGGTCATCTGGGACCATAGTTTCATCTATGAGCTTGATTGAGGCTGGTCTGCTTCCAAGCTTGCTCATGTGGCTGTTGGCTGGACTCAGTTCCTCTCCAGCTATAAGGCAGAGGCCTCCCTCACTTCCTTGCCACTTGGCCCTCTCCACAGGGCAGCTCATAACAAGCAGCCACTAGCTTTCCACAGAATGAACGAGTGAGAAAGTGCAAGATGGAAGTCAGAGATTTGTGTAACCTAATCTTGAAAAGTGACAGCCACCACACTTCTGTTACAGTTTTTCATTATAAGTCACTAGATCTAGTCCATACTCAAAAGGTTTGAAGACCAGAAGATGGGATCACTGGAGACCATCTTACAAGTCAACTTAACTTAAAAGTAATGCCTTATATATAATAATGCAAAATGACCACAAATAGTATGTATTTTTAAAAGGCCTTTACACTGAAACTCTCATCTTTTGGTTAATGCCTAAAATTCCGGGGAGAGATTCAACCCTACAATTTAAGGGTCTAGTTAGTAAAATATAGACTATAAAGAGAGTTTCCCTTTGGACCGGAGTAGTGATAACTGTGTTTTTATATTATATTTACCTAACATTGGGTATACCCCTACTCACTATCGCACCTTTAGATTATATAATTATTAGTCTACTAGTTCCTGGGGCATAGATATATTTTACCCCAACCAAGTCTCTTCTTTTTTATGGTGTATTTTTATTGAATTATAGTCAGTTTACAATGTTGTGTCAATTTCTGGGGTACAGCACAATACTTCAGTCATACAGGAACATCAACGTATTCATTTTCATATTCTCTTTAGCCATGTCACTACAAGACATTGAATTTCCCTGTGCTATACAGTATAAACTTACTGTTTATTTTATATATAGTAGTATCTGCAAATCTCGAACTCCCAATTTATCCCTTCCCTCCTCTTCCCCGCCAAGTCTTTAAATTTTATTTATATTTAACCTCACAAGTACTACATGAGCATATGATCTTTTTAAAGGTATTACAAATGCAAACGTCTCCTTCGGCCACACGCACGGCTACATTAAGACCTTTAGGACTGCTGAACAAAGAAGATGGGCGGAGTGGGGCAGAAGTTGCTACTTTCCAAAGCGTTCATGTGAAACGGGCCCTAGGCCACTGTGGGTTTCGCCGCCCCCACGAAGGCCCCTCCCGGCGCAAACCTGATGCGTCTCCTACCGCGCTGTAGTGAACGCTAAGACCTGCGCCCTCGGGCATCCCCGGGTCCATCCGCCCTGACCTAGGTCAGAGGGGCGGAAGTGAGTTCTGGGATTCTCGCGGGAAACGCGAGCGACGCGCCTCTCTGACGCACTTCCGGGGCGCCGGAACAGAGGGAGGCCGTGCCGCGCGCTTGGAAGATGGTGGTCACCAGGTCCGCGCGGCCTCAGGCCGGGGTCCAAGCCACGTCGGCTGAAAGCTCCCGGCAGAAGGTAGGAGATCGCAAGTTTCCCTCATTTCTCCTCACTGCTTCGCAGAGCGGCGTTCGGGGAGGTGGGCGGCGCAGGGGTGCCGCGGAGCGCGGGGAGGTGCGGCAGAAAGGACCCCTGCTTGCGGCGCGCTGCTGTGTACCGAGCCGCACGCCAAGCCTGTAGCTTCCTCTTCATACCTCACTAGGGTCTTTAATCAGTGCTTAGCGTGGAGTAGAGAGATTAGGTAACTTGCTTTGGGTAGTTTAGCTCCGTAATGTAGATGCACAGAACTTTTCATCTTACTGGTAACACCGTGTTACGGAGGATTAATTTGAGCCACCAAGCGTGAGCCTAATTTAGCTGGATTGGAGAAGGCACCATTCTCACTTGGGAAGGCTGGCGGTGGCTCCGCAGCACCTCCTCTTGACTTTGGGAGGGCTGCGGTGAGGTCACTTGGTGACTCAGTGGCTCTAGTCGTCTGCTGCCTCTGATGCGGCGATGAAGGGAAGAGAGCATTAATTCACTTAAGTATGAAAAGGTAAGGGGAGCGACCGATTCTATCGGGGGGTGTATGTTCCTAAACATATTTTTGCTCAGTTAATAGTCCCTTCCCTTTTCTCCTATACGTGTCGGAATGTAGGTCCACCTAGCATATGTAACTGGAGAAAATTTTCTCTTTTTCAATTACTTACTTTCTTAAGTCAGATCCTAGGCGTAGGTGATGCTAGTGAGGCATTGCCTACAAACGCAAAGTCAGATTCAGTATTTAAGTTTTGATTTCTTTTTCAATTGTGGGCTGTGATGGTTGTTTTGTATTAATCTTGTATATTGAGTTCCTTAATGCCCTCTTAAAATCTGCTTCTGAGGGGAGTGTCTCACTCACTCTGCCCTTGTCCTAGCCCTACCTAAATTACAATGTATTTTCACTGTCTTACAGAATTCTGCTGCTAAAAGAATTCAAACGCATCCAAAAGGCAAGAAGGAATTTCCATCTGAGGATCCAAGAACTGCTGAATCACAAGTCACTAGGAAACAAAGTCCGGCTCCTAGAACCAAGAGGAGGAAGAGCGGAACTACAGGCTCATTACCAGAAATGAACAAACCTGCTGATGGAGAGATCTCTGAAGCAGAGTCAAACTGTTCTTCTGTGTCTGAGGTCCAGGGTCCCATTTTAAGAGTAACTAGGAGAAGACAGATCTTAGTTGCAGGCACCCCAGTGTCCAGTGTAAGGAAAAGGCTGAAAATAACTCCAGTAAAGGAGTCTCATACTGAAGAAGTCTCTGAAGCAGAATCACATGTTTTGGGTATTTCTAGAATTGTGCCTCCCACAACAGTAACTCCAAGAACTAGAAAAAGTAAGGCCAAATCCCTAACAAAGCCAAGCCAAGAATCACATATGGAGGCTATTTCTGATGCTGAGTCATCGTGCTCAGACATTTCTTCATTTTCTGGAATTGCAACTAGGAGAAGAACAAGGAGTATGCAAAGGAAGTTACAGGCACGGAACGAGGAGAGGGACACTAAGACTGTACTTGGAAATGGAAAGCAAGTCGTAAACACACCCGTGGGTTCAGAGGATTCAGGTACCAGGCGAAGTTCTCGTTTACTAGCAAGATCTCTTTCTCAGATAAAGAAGCCAAATTTCTACAACAGTGAAACATATAAGGACTTTGAGGATGATTCCTTCTGTGAAAATTTGGAAAAAAACCTGAGAGTGCAAAAACGCCAGTGTTTTAATATAAGAGAGGAACAGCAGGACAGTGTTTCACCCTTCAGAGAAGTAACAAAGCAGAGTTGTAAGAGTTTAGATGCAGAAGCCAAAGGAATAATAGATGAGGAAAAACAAACTAATGAGGAAGATTCTCAGTTGAAGAGTCTTTCTGAACATAAGGACACTAGCCTTCCACAGTTGGTTTCTCAAAGACATTCAACCCCTGAAAATAACAAAACCACATCAATGCCCTCAAATCTGAACTGTGAGGCTGTGATGAGATCATTAGCTCAAACATTTGCAGTTGTGGAGGTGGAGAGATGGAATGAAGAGAAAAAGAGCACCATGAAAACAAGTGACTGGACAGAATTTGGTGATGGTGGTGGTAGTGATGAGGAAGAGCACACGGTTGTAGGTGTTAGTGGAGACGTGAACAAAGAAAGGGATGTTGATTTTGTGTGTGATAGCGAACTGTATAAACTTGAGCTGAAAACATCTCAGGATAAAGATGATTCTGTTTTATTAGTTCTCAGCAGTGATGAAAGCCAGCAGTCCGAAAACAGTGAGAATGAAGAGGACACTCTGTGCTTTGTTGAAAACAGTGGTCAGAAGGAGACATTAAATGGGGACGCAGAAGATGCATCACGTGACAAGGAATTGTTTGTAATTGACACAACTCCTGGATTGAGTGCTGATAAAAATTTTTATTTGGATGAAGAAGACAAGGCAAGTGAGGTTGCCACTGAGGAAGAAAAGGAAGAGGAGGAAGAGGAAGAAGAAAGTGAAGAAGAACCATCAGAAAATGACAGTAAAGATAATGAGTTTAGTGATGAAGACAACTTACTAAACAGCACAAAATCCAAACTGTAAGTTTTCTCTTTTAAAAGTAAGGTTTTCATACATATTTCAAGTGGCTAATTTACCATAAAAATATTACAAAGCATAGGAGTTGAGAAAATTTGCCTTGGGTTCTTTATGGAAGAGCTTTTTCATCCGGCACTTCCCTTGTCTCTGGTTGCCCTTGTCCTGTTTCCCCACCTCTCACTGGGGTGTTACAAACCACCTGTTAAAACTTTCCTGCATGATTGTTAAGAGCAACATGACAGGGAAGGGGAGGAACTTCTTTTCCTATGTGTTGATTGTAGAGAAATTGAAAACCAGAGAAGAGCCTGAGTAAAGTAACACCCTGTAACCCCATCTGCCACTCATTGCAGAGCACTGTTTGGGGCTGTTTGTTTAGTCTTTTTCCATTTTGTGAGTTTGTTTTTCCTAAGCACAGGCCCCAGGTGGCAGCCTATCCACTGGAAACGCAGGTATCCTTGGTTGGGAACTATCCATTAACAGGTGCCCAGTCTTCACTCTAACCAGAGAAAGCACTGAGGCTAGTCTCAGGTGTACTTATTTTTTAAAAGCCGCTCTCCTGTTTGGGATAATTGCAATATACACTCAGCTGAGAATCACTGCCAGCGCACTGCAATTTAATGACTTCACGTTCCAGTAGAGGTAGATTATCAAAGCTTTCAACGGCTCCGTTTATATGAGTGATTAGGGAAGAAAGTGACTGTAAGTCTGGGTGTTCTTGCTTATAAGAAGGACTCTTCAGTAATATAAAGTAGAAGCTCTCATTAGATAAATAAAGCAGAAGCCCAAGCCAACTGCGGAAGACTGTGATTTGGTAGATCTCGGGTATGACATTAATCATTTTTAAAAGCTCATGTGGGGAATACAGATGTTCTCTGCTGTTTAAAACTCACTGACTTAGAAGTACTACCAAATGCCTTTAAATTGCCCAGAAAAACATTCCAGGTTTGGATAACTTGGAAATTTGCAATTGAAGAACCTTTTTCATTGGTTTTGGAGATCAAAGGCTGTGTGCATTTATTAACTCACTACCTTTATATGAAGTTGAGCTAAATTGCCAGATGTATTTCCTCCTCTTTTCTTTATAAAACCCCTTTAAGAAATTTATTGGCATATTATATGGTCTTAATCTTCCTTAAGAAAATCTGAGGAATAATTTGGATGTGCTCCCCAAAAGCTTTTTTAATTCATTATTCATCCCATAATTTGCTTCTAATTCAAAACACAGTCTCAGTTGTTTCCATTTTGAATTACTTGATCTTTAAGTGATCGTTTCTCTTTCAGTCTGAAGTTGACGAGCAGCAGCATAGACCCTGGTCTAAGTATTAAGCAGTTGGGTGGTTTGTATATTAACTTAAACGCAGACAAGCTGCAGCTGAACAAGAGAACCCTAACACAGATCAAGGAGAAAAAGAAAAATGAGGTAAGTTGCACAGAGTGTCCCACTGGTTTTCATAGAGTTAACCAGTCACTTCTAGAAATGATTAGTCCTTGGTAAGAAACTAATCTTCCTACTATTTTTCCTACTGTTCTCCTTTTTTCCCTTTTTCCAGAACAGTCATCATAAAGTCCTAGGTATAAGAGGTGACACTTGAAGGCTAAAGTGACATAGGATTGGTGTTCCTCTTCTTGCACCCACCAGTTAGGATCCCAAGGACTGTGTTTTCTTTTTCTCCTCTTTTCTTGCTATACTTTTAGTTCTTAACTGTTCTGGACTCTGTTGAGAATCTGAAAGCTGTGAGTGCCCACCTGCCCCCATCAGGTAAAAGAGCACATGTGCACACAGACTTAAATTTGTACATATAATTTCAGAAGAATTTACAGGGTAGGTAACCTCATCCAAACCCTCAGTTTCAGCTGCCCCCTTGCGTGACTTCCATACCTGAGGTAGTTTCTAGCCTTGCAGCCTACGCGGGTCTTTAAATCCAGGTCCTGTTGCTTGTTTATTCAGGGGTGCTCGGGCACTTGACCTCACTAACTGCCCTTCTCTTCCCTGCCTGAAGCAGCTTCTCCGTTTGTCTTCTTCATCCTGGCTAATGATACCAAAACCTGTTTCCCTTTTACAGCCAGTCACTAAGCCTAGGGGACGATGCTCCTTACCTCCTGTTGGCTCCTTTCCACCCCACTGTCACTGACTAGTGACATCTAGTTGATTTCCATCGAGACGACTGCAATGGCCTCCTTATTCTTTCTTCTTCGAGCCATCCTCAGTTGTCCTGCTAGGTTTCTCTGCAAAAACACAGATCTGACCGTGATACTCTGTTCAAGTCCCTCAAAGTTTCCTCAGAGCCTTCAAGGTGCCTCTGCTCCTCTGGCTCTGACCGTCCATCTGCCTGTGTCCTTCCCACTGAAAACCGCTCTAGTTCCCTGAACACACCCTACACTTTCCCAGGCCAGTGCAGAGGTCGTAGATCACCACCCTTGGGAAACTTTCTTTGACCCTGGTCCTTCCCCCACCTCCTCCCTGCTTCTGCAACACCTAGTATAGATGTGAGTGGTCATTGATCATGTGGTGTTCACTGTTACTTTACTGTCTTTTATCTTTCTTTGTATTCCTAAAACAGGATTTCTCAGCGTCGGCAAAACTGATGTTTTGGGCTGGATATTTCTTTGTTGTGGGAGAATGTCTTGTGCATTGTAGGATGTTCAGCAGCATCTCTGGCGTCTACCTTGTATAAGGAGGTAGCGTCCATCCTCCCTGGTGCCCAACTCCTGACACACACACACACACACACACACACACACACTCATTCATTCATTCATTCATTCTCTCTTTCTCTCACAGATGTTGCCAGTTGAGAACCACTCTCCTAAACCCTAGCATAGTACTTGATACACAACTGGCTCTTAATAATGTCATGCTCTCTGAGGGATCCTTCAAACTGTTCTGAGAGCTAAGGAGCAGTCCTCTTTAGTTCTTGTACTGGGGTAATGACTAGTTACCCTGAGATTCCTTTTAGTCACACTCACAGTGACAGTATTTAATCATCCTAGGCAACTAACAACAGGTGCAGAGGACATTTAAGAAAAGATGAACAGATTGACTACGTAAAGTTTTATAACTTACGCAACTAAAAACACGTTAAGAAAGACAAATAAAAGACCGTGGTCAATACCACTAAGATACAAATACATTTCTGCAAATTAATAAGAACACAACCCTATATAAAAATGAAGAACCCACCAAAATACCGGCTTTCCCTGGAAGACATGCACATGCACAGAAAGGTGCTCCACAGCAAACAGAAACATCAGTGAGGCACCAGCGACAGCACAGAGGAAGGTAACACCCCGCGTCCCCGTGCTGGCCGTGGGAAGAAGAGGGAACTGGCTGGCTCGTGGTAGGAGTTCAGACTGCTTGGATGTAAGGCAGTTCAGTAGGACCTACCAAAGTCTAAGTGACGCATTTTGGAATCAGTTTTACGGAAACAGTCACAAGTATGCAGAGATGATGTTTACAATGTTCAGTGGAAAAAAGGTTAACGGAGACCTTTAAACTGAGTATCCAGAAGGAAAACTGTGCATAACAGCTATTAAAGATAATGAGGTCGATCTGTGTATGAACTGACACTGAAGGAGCGCCTCTGATACGCTGAGGTACAAAAGGCAGATTTGCTTGATGGAAGGATCTCATCGTAAAACATAAAAAGCGTATGTTGTTCAATGGACATCTATACCGCTGTTCTCATTAACAGTCTAGCCAGTCTCCTCAGATCACAGGCAGCCGTAGTACCAGAGTTAAAAGAACTCCTTAAAGCCTAGTCAGGTTTTTCAGGGAGTTTAAGAACTGTTACGGCATTGCGTCTGTTGTCTTTATTTTCCAGTTGTTTGGTGCTGGTAGCTGGTTGCGAACCAGTGAAATGCAAGCAGGCACATTAATGTGAATCTGGTGTGTGCAGATTCAGATTAGAAAAAGAAATTCGAGGTGAATGTTGATTTTATAGAGTCCCTAAAGTAATCCTTCAGCTTGTCTCCTAAAGCGTTTTTTGATACAATTTACCAATTTAAGGACAGGAACACTTTTGCAGTAGTATGTCTAACTATGCAAAAAGTTAGTATTTTTGGAATAGTCTTCAGTGTGGAAGATACTTCCTTTATAAGGCAAAAATGTTGAAAAAATTATGACATTCCAGCATTATTTTCAAATTAATTTTGTATTTTTGTAGCTTCTGCAGAAAGCCATCATTACTCCTGATTTTGAAAAAAACTACTGCGTCCCACCATATAGTGAATCAAAGCATCAACTTCAGAAAAAACGCAGAGTGAGTACAGTGACTCCTAGAGTTTACATGTGTTTGACTATCAATGTGTTCAGTGTGTATAATAAGTACATTAAAATACGTTTCCAAAGATAATTATCACGCATATCTAAGAGCCCAGAAATTTGGTTCCATAAACACATCTCACAGATTCTCACGAAGTTGAAAGTACACGGAGGGGCGCCCGTAGGTGCAGCTCCTTCTTTCCTTCCTTGAGAAGTGGCAGCCAGCACACGAGGGCACCGCCATGCCTCTTGGCTCACAGGCCCTGCTTACGGTGGGTAGGGAGCTCTGCTGCAGGCTGTTGTCGGAAACTGAACATAACTGGCTTAGAACACTGGTCTGTTTCGTCTGCCAAGTGAGGGGGTAGAAACCATCTTCTATAGTAAAATATATGGGTTACTTCCATCTGCCATTTTAACCAATAAAAACTAAAGACGTTATCAAGAGAGGCTGGAGGAAATTTGAGCCTGGTGCCCCAGTCATGTCTTGTCACTAGTATGACTGGAGGGCGCTGGCTCACAGTAGACACTCCGTAATAGTTGTTACATGAATGAACAAAAGTAAAAGTAAGCAAATAACTTGCTAGGAGTTTTTGAAAGAATAGGATTTTTTTTTAATTTTAAAAATAATACCAACTGCTGGACTGTTGAGTAACTTTCTGAGACAACTAAAATAAATGAGTAAGTGTTAATGTTTATGTATAAGCTCCAGAAGTAAAAATGTTTTTATATATCTTATGTAAGCTACTTTAGACAATAAAAATTGAAGCTGTGGGTTATTGTCCCATCAAGTTGGCAATTCTTACTAAGATAGAAAGTAAATTTTAAGGAGCCCTCATGGAACTGATAGTACTGTGCCTAACTTACCAAGAAATCACTTTTGTGATTTAATTCTTCCTTAAAATTAGAATTTTCTGTCTAATTGGTTTTGAAATTTGAATTTCAGCAAGAGCGACAAAAAACAGCAGGTGATGGCTGGTTTGGTATGAAGGCACCGGAACTGACAGATGAACTGAAAAACGATCTCAAAGCACTGAAGATGCGAGCGAGCATGGACCCAAAAAGGTTTTACAAGAAAAATGATAGAGACGGCTTCCCCAAGTACTTCCAGGTATGAAGCAAACAGAATAAGGATAGTGACGTTCAGTGGACTTTAGTTTGGAAAGCACTGTAGTGATCTGTTTACTCTTAAAATAAATGCATGTTTCCATGGGCTCAGCCCGTAAGATAATGGCCAGAACCCAGCTCAGACAGCCAGCACTTGCAGTGGCTTTCCATGTGGAAAGACCGCGTTCCAGATGGTGGCTAGGTTTCCAGCTCAGCTTTCTAAAAGTTACGGAGCCTGCAAGATGGGAGTGTCGTACGTAAATAACGTGAGCCCGAAGAGCAAGACCCCTTGCGGGGTGGAGGGGGAAGAGGGCTCATTTGTACCAGACTTCTTTTTTTCAAGGTTCTTTTTTCTGAAAATAAGAATTGGTTTCCAAAGTGCTTTCAGATTAAAGTCCAGTGATTCACCCTCTGGCTCTCAAGTTCATTCCTGACCACCTTTCTAGTCACTCATGGATTACTATAGGAGTCCTTTGCCTGCAGGTCTGCTCTCCCGTTCAGTTCCTCGCTCACATTGTAGCCATTGATCTAGTCTTTAAAAAAAGCAATCTGTTCATGATACGTTTCTGCTCGGTGGTACCTTCAGTGATTCTTCATTACCTGTAGGATGGAAGCTGTGCTCCTTAATGTGGCCCTCTGCAGTCTGCACCCAGGCCAGCCCAGCAACCCTTCTTTCATCACACAGCCCTCTTAAGCTCCAGCACGCTCAGCTCATTCTTCTGAGAATACGCGCAGACTGGTCTTGGCCTTCTGACTTTGCATGTGTTTGGCTCTGCCATGTTTGCTTGGTGAAGTTTTACCCATACATCCAAGCTAAAATGTCATCCTTTGTGAAACCTTTACCTCCATTAGGTAGAACGGGTCACTTGGTTTTCAGAGCATCTAGAGTGTGTCTTCCGCATTACATTAGGTTATGATTTAATTTTTTAATTGCATGTCCATGAGTCTTCTATAATACCCTAGACTCCACACCGGCAGGGATCAGACGTTCTCTATCTTCGTTTCCCTCACACTGAGCACAGTGCCTGGCACATAGCAGACACTGAATTTTACTTGGTTGAATGTATGAACAAACGCAGAGTGGACTTTGAGAAGGTTCTTTCTTTTTTTTTTTTTTTCTTTCTTTTTTTACATTTTTTATTGATTCATAATCATTTTACAATGGAGAAGGTTCTAAGCTGGCAGCATTTATGATAATCTAGGAGGTCAGATAGATAATAGAATTTATGTGTCAATTTTATTAAATTGGGAAACTAAAAAGATTTATTTTTATCTGTCTCACTTTTCTCCTCTAGTTACACTGTTCATCAAGAAGTTGCTGTGTAGCACTAAATTATATAAAAGGAACTTTGGTTTTATTATAACTCTAATGAAATGTCAGGCCCAGTGCAGACTGAATAAGTGATTATTTTCCTTTGAAAATGGCAATGCTAACTTTAATATTGGTAAAATGTAAGCTTTGTTTTCCATTGCTTTCTGTAAATATCCTTTGTTAGTGCTGCCCTGAGATACGCAAGGAATTTGGCCTTCAGGTGTTGCATGACTTATTTCAGTCAATCGTTTGTAGGTTGGAACCATTGTTGACAATCCAGCTGACTTCTACCATTCACGAATTCCCAAGAAACAAAGGAAGAGAACTATTGTGGAGGAACTGCTGGCTGATTCTGAGTTCAGAAGGTAATGGAATTTATGTTTCATCTTACAATATGTGTGCTCTCCTTTAGAATTTTCATAAACTTTAAATTTTAGGTAACTTTTAAACGTTTTGCACAGAGTTTCTCAACAGCAGCACTGTTATGTTTTGGATGGGGTAATTCTTTATTTGGGGACTGTCCTGTGCACTGTAAGATGTCACACAGCATCCCTGGCTTCTATCCACTATTTGCCAGTAACAGACACCCCTCCTCCCACCCCCAATTCATGACAATCAAAAATGTCTTCGAACATTTTCAGGTTTTTGTCCTCTGAGGGACATAAGCATTCCCAGTTTAGAACCAGTGATTTACAGGGAAGGTGAAAGTGTTTGACTGGCTAGAGGAGAACAGGCCTGCAAAGGAGACTGGGAAAGAACAGCCAAGGGGGTTGACGAAAACCAGGAGAGCACAGTGCCGTTCAAGGCAAGGGAAGGTAACGCTGTGAGCAGGTGTGAGCCGGAGCGGGAGGGTCACAGGAACCAATGATGCCTAGCGCGCCGAGGAGGTAAGAACTAAAACTTCTTTGGATTTAGTACATGGAGGTCACAGCAACCTTGGCAGGAGGAGTTTTAAGGGAGGGACGGGGAGGAAGCCAGACTGGAGAGGACTTGAGAGTGAGTTGAAAATGAAGAAACAGAATTACTTGGAGAAGTTTGGTTGTGAGGAACAAGGGCGAGGCAGGGCTAGTGGAGGTGGATGGAGTTGGATTTTTTTTTTTTTGAGCTGGGAGAAATTTGAGTATGTTTCAGTGTTCTTGAAGTAGGTGCGTATATATTACAGATTTAAAAGCATCCTCATATAGAAACTTCTGCTGAATTTCCAAAATGGCTGAATAGCAAAAGTGAAAATACTTATCAAAGGTTTAAAAAATAATGTAACATACAGGCATGGAAAACAAATGTAACCCACGTGTCCTGTAAGTGCTTTAAAGATTTTAGGAATAAGCAGCGCTCTTTTCTCACTGCTCTCTCCTTGGAGATCTCATCCCCACAGGGTTTTATCATCTGTATATACTGCCAGCTTCCAAATGTGTAAGTCTGGTCTGGGTCTCTGCTGCCTCAGAACATCTAATGGGCATCCCACAAGCCCCTGTGGGAGCTACCTTGTGGTCTCTCCTGACCCCGGCCGCCCTGAACAATCTAGTCCGCTCCCAGTGTTCTGTATCTCATGACCGAATGGCGTTCGATCATCCATCCGTCAGGGCAAGTCCTTGACACTCCTTCTCCCTTCAGTCCCATGTGTGGAGTGTCAGAGTCCATCCCATTTTCCCGTCTCTGAAGCCTCTCTTTCCCTCCTTCCGCACAGAGGTGTGGTACAAGCTGATCGAGTCTTTGCTTGCCTAAGTGTTCACTATACATTGGTGATAAAAACTGACCTACGCTTTGTAATATTCACGACAGCAGTGTCAGAAATCACAGCAGTGTTGGTGCTTTCGCTAAAAAATAATCTTAGAATAAGGAAGTTGAGGCAGTAAGCTAGAAAGCTAGTAGACTGGAACTCAAAAAATTGCAGGTTAGAGGTTATCTTGTCGGTTCATTGCTTCCCATACTCCCATCACGGAATACCATTTCCACCGTGCTTGCCTTCTCTGTATACTGCCTACTTTGTTTTAAAAGGAAACTATATTATTACTGAAAATGAGTTTGTTGACATATTTTTGCTAATATACATTAAGATAAATGCATCTTAACTTACGATAAATATGATAATTACATTACTTAAAATGAATATTGTCTATCACACAGATTTACACAGCACACTGTGTGAAACACTCCACTAGCCCATCTGTCCATGGAATGTTTTAATCCTTACCACAACATGCTCCTTAAGAGGTTTTCTGGCCTCTAAATACCTTGGGATAAGGAACTCCACAGAGCATCTTTAATTATATGTTCATTAGTAGGACTGTCCTGGGACAGTAGAAACAAGCGTAATATATAGGAGAAAATGTGCTTTCCTGTATTGTGTATATTTGGTTTTGTTTCATTGTTAATCTAACCTTAGGTTTGTTAGTCTGTAAATTTTGCTGCTGACTTGTGGCATTGAGTGAGCTTAAAGTTGTAAAAGGCCTAAATAGCTTCTGTTTTAATGAGAATATTAGCTAATCCCCAGCTTTAGTAATGTGTAACAGATTTATGTAACAGTGAAAGTGTTTTAGAACAAAGGAATTTTTACAGAATTTTTAACTTTTCCTTAATAACTGAACTGAAAGCCCTTTTACTGAAGCTTCTAATTAGAACATCATTATTTTTCTGCAATTGTGCTTCTGTGTTTCCAAAGCCCAAAGGGTAATAATAGTCTCAAACAGCAATTCCTTGGTCTGAGGATGCCTTTTTTTTTGAGAATGCCTTTTAACTCTTAAATGTTATTGAAGACCTAAAGATTTCTGTTTTGTCAGTTACATTTATCAATATTTGCCAAATGGAAGTTAAAGTTAAGAAACCTTAAAAATATGAATTCATTTAAAAATAATAACTCAAAAATAATAACTCATCACACATTAACATTTATTTTCATGAACAAAACAAAAATAATTTAGTGCAGATCTCTTTACTGTCTGGCGTAAAGACAACTGGAGCCTCCCATCTGCTTCTGCATCAGTCTGCCATGATACCACACTTCGTGTAGCCTCTTAAAAACTCCACTGTACACTCTTGAGAGCATAAGAGTGAAAAAAGCAACTAAATGCCTTAGTATTTTTGTAAAAATGGTTTTTACTTAATGGACACCTTCAAAGAGTCTCATTCCCACATCACATTCTGAAAACCATTTGTCTGTGATGTATTTCTTAAGGTTCTAAGAAATATATTGTATTTTCAAGTAAGTGTAGACCTTTGATTTTGCTTAGTTCTTAATTTTAAATTTTCATCCCACAAAAATATTTAAAGCATTTGATACTATCTAGTAGCTGATGTAGTGCATGGGTCTCTAGTGGCTGAAGGTTTTCAAAAGCCTCCCTTCTCGTTGCCTTTTTTCCCTTACTAGACTGCAGACTATGAGGGCAGGGGCTGTGGCTGTCTGGTTCACAGCTCTGTCCCTAACTCCTGTTAGGGCTCCTTACACATGGTGGAACTTAGTGCAACTGTGATGAATAGTGAAAATGCAAAAAAAAAAAAAAAGGAAACTCCTCGCCCCCCCCCCCATATAAGGTTACATTAACATCTAATGTCTGATGTCTCATATACTTTTTGGTTTTTCTTTTTAGATATAACCGAAGGAAGTACTCAGAGATCATGGCTGAAAAGGCAGCAAACGCAGCAGGAAAGAAGTTTCGAAAGAAGAAGAAATTTCGCAATTAAGACTCACCAGGCAAACCACAAAATTTTACACCTCCTCTGTATTTATTTACTAACCATGTTTTGAAAAGTAACATCACCACCACATAAATTAACATAGGCTGGTCCTATTTATGTAGAGATTTCTGTTTGGAAAAAGTTGACTTGAGAAAGGATCAGTCATGTGCCCCTTGGTATATCTACAAATATCCACTCGTGCTTAGACCCTTTGAGGGCAAGAAAAGGAAAAGAACTTGACCGATTTAAAGATAATTAACTTTTGTAAAGTTTTCAACCTTTGGTTATTTAAAGAAATTTGAATTAAAAAACATTTAGAAAGCATAAAGTTTGCTAACATATTCACAAAACTTCAATATGATCAAAGATATATAAATAGTATTATAATTATTATGTAGAGGTGTGTGTGTTTAGGGGGAGATGGCAGATAGTCAGGAAATGGCCTGTGGCTGGTTGCACATGCAAGTCCAGAAAACTGGCAAAGCTGGGATACAGAGATCTTGTTGGCCAGTATAAAAGTCATAGTTGAAACCAAAGGAATGACACAAGTGTTCTTGGAGCAAGTGTATGTTAGTGTATGACCAGAGAACTAAATGAAGCTATAAAAAGGACCTGAAAGAGAGACTGCCGAGAAAGTCTGGGTTAAAGTTAGATGCAGGAGCGCTCTTTTCCTTCCTTAGCAACTGAAACAGGAGGAGAGAGATTTCCACCCAGAGTCAATGATAGGATTAGAGCAATATAATTTTAACTTGGTCAGGAGGTTAAGTGGCCCGACTCAACGTCGTCTCCAGTGGCAGAAACGTGCATCCTGGCTAAGCTACGCAGGGCACCCAAGGAGCCGTGCTCACTGCCATTAATACGTCTTGGCGAGCTGTTGCTTCCTTTATGTCATTATTCCTGGGATCTTCTATTTTCCAGCACACTGCTTCCTTAGTATTTCAGTAAACAACAAGTCTCCTTCATTGTGTTCACTGCTTGGGATCAAAAGCAAACCAGTTAACAGAAGTGACAGTGACATTCATGGGCAGAGTTAGGGAAGCATCTGTGTCTGTTCTTTTATAGAAAAGCCTTCATTCAAAGAATATTAAGTTTTGCCTTCTGGGTAAACTAAGGACCTGCTATGAGAAAATTAAATACCCAAACAAGAAGAGATGATAGTTAATTTACCCTTTATACGTTCTTCCAGAAGGAGACGTTGTTAGAACATTTCAGCTTACACTACCATGCTATAAGAAGACTCAGACTTGTCAATCATTGTGTATGATGTTTCTCTGCAGACAGCTGAGGACTTACGCAGGTTTTGTCAGACTCAAGGTGGGGGTCAACTTTTTATCGTAACTTTTATGCTCATTTCTCACTCCTGAGTGCTAGAATAGGTTGAATTATCTGGTACTTCAAAACTGTAGTTACGACAAACATTTGCAACATGATAGTGTGTTTTACAGGGAAAACAAGATTAGTGACCTGTGATCTTTCCCACACGGAGCATTCGAGCCTTCTGGATTAGGAAGAGGTGATGAGGGGAGAGAGCTGAACCTAGGTGCCAAGTCCAGCTCGCACACCCACCTTAGAGGTCCTCACAGCAAGTGTTCTGAGGACAGGTGACCCTTGAACAACACGGGGGTTGGGGTGCTGAGCCCCACACAGTTGAAAATAAAAAACTTTACCGTAGGCCCCTTGTGTCTACAGTTCCGCATCTGAGGGCTCAACCAAGTGCTTGCAGATCGTGCAGTACTGTAGTGGGGGCTTGCTGAGAAAATCCGCGTGAGTGGGCCCACCCAGTTCAAACCTGTGTTCAAGGGTCAGCTGTATTATAGTTACATTTTAACATGCTCTTTTTTGTCTCCATTGATTGGTTTTTTATTATATGTATTTTTGTAAGCCACTTAAATAATTTGGAAAAAGAGAGTTCTTAACAAATGTAAAATACTTATCAGTGAAATAAACCTTATTCAACTAAAAATCATTTAAAATCACCTTAACATTTATTGTAAGGAATTAAAACTGGTAAGATGTATGGCTTCATCTCACATGTGATCTTCACAAATTTAAGTCGTCAAAACTGAAGAGTATCAAAGTAGAACCATAGGTAAAGATCAGAAGGACATCTCAGTACTCCTAGCCTTGTACAAAAATGTGTATTTGAATAATGGCTGTATCTGTCTTTTTTTAAGCGAAGCAACTGTTGAGAAAAGTTTAGTGACTGGCTTATGTCACTAAACTCAGTTCACTTACTGGAATTATTCTGAGGCTTAATGACTATCAGATGGCTCCTCTTCTCAACTGAAAAGCATTACAAAGCATACAGAGTGCTGGTACAGTGTGCTTGAGAAAGTGTGCTAGAGAAAGGAGGGCCTTCGTGATACCTTAAGATCTTGAAAGATTTCCAAAATGCTTTTAAGACAGCTTACTAAGAAAAATCTACAAAGTTATTTTTTTTAAACAGGAAATTAAGGAAAGGAAAATGAAGATGGAAGAAATTAGGAAGCCAGCAGTGGATAAAGGTAAGCTCTGCGCATCCTGGCATCTAACACACAACATGAGCTCTGTGTTCAGTGTTTTAGCGCAAGATAAAAACAAACCAGCTGCTTTAGAGAAACACTACATCTGTTATTAAGACAGGAGAAAATGTCTCATGGGTCCCTGTAACAAGGATGTCACACTACAGGCCGTGCTTGGCTGTCCAGAGGACATATGGCAGGGTTTTAAAAGGAAGGAAAAAAGAATGAAAGTCTGTATAGAAACTAATAAAACCTTGCGTAATGGGGATAAACTCAAGGGATCCCACTCAGAGACAGCAAATTACAAGAAAACATGGAAAAAGTTTTCGGTGCCATTTCTGGGGTATGTGCAGGTACTCATTCATTTCAGTCTCTCGAGCAATGACAGTACTGTTCAGAATAACTACAACATTTTACTGAATGTTTTCAGTTGAGGATGAAACAAAATGCTTTTTAACCAATTCCCCACACATCTGACTAAAATGTCAAATTCAGGTCTTATTGTTAGTCAATTTAAAAACAAGAAATGTTTCCAGCTTTAAAGTGAGGAAGGAATGCTTTCAATTTCTAGTAGCGTCCAAGGAGCGAGGTCAGTAGCATGACCTGTAATTAAATGCCTTAAGCAGATGAGTGTTTTATCAAAGAACTGGAACATCTCAAACCTGTGAAAGGCGAGCTCAGATGTAACAGTGGAGACTCTGAAATGGAAAAGGCTGCCAGTAAATACTGAACACCAGCCGTAAGGAAGGCAGAACTACTTGAGGTTCAGGTGGTGGGTGGCGGATGGTGTACATCCATACCAGCTACCACTGCACAGCAAATTGCCCCAGAAGTCAGTGACTCAAAACCACCACCATTTGATTACGTATCGTGATCCAGGGGTTCAGGGCTTGGCTGGGTGACTTGTGCTTTACTTGGAAACAAACGCAGTCACTCGGTGGTACTGAGCTGGAGCTGAGTGTATCTGGAAGGTCTAAGACATTTCCTAACGTGGCTGACAACTTGCAATATTTTCTTTTAAAAATATGACAACTGAAATTTTTCTTCAGTTTAACAGCAGTATAGCAAAGGAATTGCTATAAAACCAAAACATGACTCACACGTGGTGTGGCACTGAAGGCTCAGCATGGCTGAGTGGGCTCCATCTGTAGTATTTAGGAAGTTCTACTCTTCCCCACCTGTCTCCTTCCTCGTCACCCCTCCTAAGGGAAGAGGAGTTACTAACCAGATTGCAGTGAGCCCAAGCTATTCTTTGGGCTGTGTTTTTACAAATGAACATGACTGCAGAAACCACGTGCAGTCACTCACTCTTGCCCTCTTAGCAGGCAGGCCTGTCATCCTCTCTTCCAAGCGAGGTGGGGAATTAGACCTGGGGCTTTCCTGAGCCAGACTTTCTCTATTCAGGGTAGGGGATGATGGGACTCTGAGTTGTTCCGTTGCAGCTCACCTGAGCAGGCCTGTGGTCAGGGCGCTCTTCTAAAGTTACCATGTGAGTGGTGCTCTCTTTTCCATTGGCTCATCTTCCTTACCGTTACAGCCTCCTTGGCAGGATTGCAATGCAGAAACCGGTACGGTTCAGGCACCAAAATCCTGACCTCAAACCGCATGCAACGTAACTGAAGTTCTGTTCATTCTGGGGGGAAAAATGGATATGAAAAGTATGGTTGGATTTAGCTCAATTACCATATGAATTTCAGCTATCATGCAGTGAGGAATACTACAAATGCCTTTGAAAGATGTTCCTTAACCTTCTTAAAAGGTAGGAGAGAAACATGCTTGTAGTCATCCATATGGAAAAAATGTATGTGAAGTTTTGTCCTGTCCCTCCTACATCTACTCCCTCACCCCCCATAACTAAGGGAAGTTCAGAGAAGTAACATACTAAAACAAGAGACAAAAACAAGATACACATTGTGGTTAACAGACTTCTATATCTTAAGGTAGAATCAGGAAGACTTATTTTTTCCCTTAAATGTATGTATGTGCGTGTACACACATTTATAGCTGTACGTACACATGCGCCAAAGTACTATGAGACAGTGAGTTGGCAGAAGAACAAATCATAGCTTAATTCTGGAATGTGAAGCTCATCAAAACCTTGGCTGATTTACCTGTAACATCTGCCCTTCCAGCCAAATCTGCCACTTTATCTGACCTTCAGCTGTCAGCTGCCCGCACCTGCCAGGAGCAAGGAGGGTGTCAAATAGATGAAGGGATATTAAGCTGGCCCAGTGCCTTTCCCTGTGCTTTGGTGACTGCTGGATGAGTCATGATTTAAGCCCTTTTTACAGATTTTACCTGACTATATAGTCCTTTAGGATTGACTCCTGGTTTTTCCTTTAGTGAAAATCACTATCCTATGATTTAGCCAAAGGCATCAGAACCAAGATGCCCCTACAGTTCCCTAAAGCTCAGAATCACCACTTCCAGTTACCCGACTTCCACTGCACCCCAGTCAGTCACCATCGTGGGCTTGGACTCATACCTGAAACTGTTCAGTGGTGGAGATTCTGAACTGGCCAGCCTTCTCTCCAGTTCCCTCTAACCCAGCCCTGACTGCACTTTGGAAGTGCTTGAGGCGGCTCCACAAGCACTGACCCTACGCCCCACCTGCAGAGCTTGTAAACTCGCGATGGCAAGCACGGCAGCGCCTCTCGCGCCCCCAATCCTCCACCTGCGTCAGGTCGTCCTCCCCACTGTGCTGCCTGGACCTGCCGGTCAGACATTTCAGAAATGCTTTGTATATCCTACTATTCTCCTTATTCTTTTTTTTTTTTTTCCTGTAGCTCTCGCCTGCCAACCCAGCCGAGGAAACACCCAGTCTTATCTGTTCAGGTTACTGAGACGTGGGGAAAGTAGTATGAAGTTGTTGACTCTTGGCTGGGCTTTTCCTGCTGCTCCACAATTTTTAAATTCAATTGAGATTACTTGGCACCAAATTCATTTATTTATTCATTGTGCAAGTCAGTCAGCCAGTCACCACAAAACCGAGTCCTATGCATTGCTGAAGCTGCAGGGTTCACCAGTGAGGAGGACCCAGGCCCCGCACCCGGGGAGCTCAAGGGAGACGCGGCACAGTCCTCTCTCCCGGTGGCCCCCCACCCCCTCGTCCCCTCGGCACCTTGCCGTGCCTCCTGCTTCACTCAGCCGGCCAGGGCCAGCTGACCAGGGCTGCCTTGCTTTCTCGTGACCTCACTGGTCTAGAGACACTATTCCCACGTGCATCCGCCATTATATTCAACAGCTTTCCCCCTCGGTCTTCACTTCTGGCCAGGAAGTGTTATTTGCCACTACTAACCTTTCCTTCCTGGAGCTCCAGCTTCTCTTGGCTCCTGAAGGGAGATAAGCTGCTCTGCTTCTCCTGAATCTGCGCTTTTTCCCCTTCACTGATTTTCCTACTCTGCCCACCACCCGCTGGTCTCCCATAAAGCCTGCCTGCTTATCTTCTTCCTCTACACTCAGTGACTTGAATGGTTTGTCCTCCCTCACCTGCTTTGTGCTCCCCTCTCTGCAGAAGACTCCAAAGTCTTCATCCTTACATCTCTACACCCCTGCTTCAGATGCACATTACCTTTTACATGGGTGGTACACTCATCCAGGTATGAGGTCATCTCAAACTCAACATAGCCAGACCCAGACACATCATCTTTCTGAGATGAACAAATGTTAGCACCATGCTTGATACATGAGAGGAACTCAAACGGAAGCTATTCTTTCCCTGTTCCCCATCTTCCCCATCAGAAAAGTCTTCCTAAAATGGTTTTAATGACGTCGTTCTCCTTTTTTTTTACCTTCTGTGGCCCGCCTCTGCCTAACAAAACATACAGAAACCCCTACATTCAAGATCTGACATTCAAAACTCTCTATAAAAAAAGACTGCATGGAGACTAACCATGCTACTAAAATCCAATGGGTCAACAGTGAAATCAAAGTGGAAATTTAAAAATACCTTGAGAAAAATGACAAAACACAACCACAGAAAATCTATGGGATACAGCAAAAGCAGTCTTAAGAGGGAAGTTCATAGTGATACAGGCCTTCTTCAAAAAACAAGAACAATTTCAAATAAATCTAATCTACAACCTAAAAGAATTAGGAAAAGGAGAACAAACAAAACCTAAAGTCAGCAGAAGGAAAGGAATAATAAATATCAGGGAGAAAATGAAATAGGGGTTAAAAATAGGAAAAAATCAATAAAATGAAGAGTGTTTTTTCAAAAGAGCCAACAAAATTGTCAAACCTCTGGCCAGGTTCATCAAGAAGAAAAGAGAAAGGCCCCAAATAAAATAAGAAGTGAAAGAGGAGAAATTAACAACTGATTCCACAGAAATACAAAAACCGTAACAATACTATGAACAATTATATGCCAACAAATTGGACAACCTAGAAGCAATGAACGTGTTTCTAGAAACATACAGTCCACCAAAACTGAGTCAAGAAGAAACAGATAATTTGTACAGACTGA